AAAAAAAAAAAAAAAAAAAAAAACAAGTCATCCTGTAACTATTTCACAACAAACCACAAGACAGAACTGACGGAAAAATGAATCCACTTTTCACAACAATTTTCAAGAGTTTCATTGTGAAACATGATTTCTCATCATAAAAACAGTYAATGTTCAGTGACAGTTAAAAATCGTCTCCAATCTGATGTGCAAAACTGATTGACAGTTAATAATATTTTGCCTGATAAAGCTGAGGTTGAAGGACTTTTGAAACTCAGATATGATTTTTTTTCCTCTCAGATAAGTCATGCAACAAATGCATCATTTTCAAGACATATAAGTTCATTGTTTTAAATAAGTAAAGATAAACAGGAAAATGTCAATAAGGTAAAAAAAAATGCTAATGATTTAGAGAGAAAGAGGAACTTTGTCACAGTTTGTAGGTTTGAACCTAGGAAGCAGACAGAGCAGAAGTAGAGAATTAAAAATGTAAAAACAAAACTCAAAAACCCAGGCAACCTGCAGGCAGCTGTTTTTCCTCCTGTGTGTCATTAGTTTCTGGCTTCAGAAAAATGAAAGTACTGGAAATCTGGATTGGGAAATAAAGCAATTGCTCAAAGTCAAGGTCGTTCAGGTCCACATGACTTTTCCTGCCAGTTATAAACTCATAAAAACTGATTTTGTCTAGAAACAAGGGAGGTGATAATTACAGGAAACGCTGCCTCCCAAACGATACAAAGATGTTGTCGAGGAAACAGGTACAGGTTACAGAACTACATTTACTGGAGTTTTAGTGTGTTTTCTTTTCACAGCTTTAGATCTGTGGCTCAAATATGTCCAGAGTCAAACCTCCACTTTTTAAAAGTTTGATAAAAGATGCATCTTCAAAACACCTGCCGAGACATGACGCACAAACAGAATGTAAACGGGGGGGTTCAGGTATAGTTGTAGCAACATCCATTTCAGAAATCACTATCTTATAGTAATGGAGTCTGTGTGGAAGTCTTTTCAGGATTTTTCTGACAGAAAAACTGATTTGAAGTTTAGAAAGTGTGTTTTTAACTACAACAATTTTTATCACTATATCAAATAAAATGTCCTAACATACAGTAGGTYCCCCCCCCTGCTGCCCTTGGGTCAAAATGACCCATAAGGCCTGAGCTTTACAACCGTGTGGGCCCCTATCCTGCATGTTTTACTTGTTTTTCTGCTCCAACACACCTGATCTGAATCAATGGGTGACTAACAGGCTTCTGCAGAACTTGAAGAGGTAATTTMATTACCTGATCAGGCATCTACTCTTTGCTAATATCAAAGTGCTAAGCTCATACAGCTCAGCACGTGAGCAAATTCACGTGGTCCAGACCTGTTGTACTGTGTAGTCAGTCTGATGTTATCCAGATGGATTTTCTTCACTAATAACTTTATACGTATTTCATTAGTTTGAAGATATGTTGAGTTGAAAATAAATCACACTCCATAATTATGTTGACAATAGGTTATTTTGTTTGAAGTAGAATTGTAATTTTAAATGTATTAATGTAGACTAACGATATATAACACTACAATATATGAAGATCTCAAACTACAAGCCAACTTAAATTATGCATTAATGAAAGTTTAATTTGTCTCGGTATATAATGAGGTCAACAGGAAGTGAACATAATCAACATTATTCAGACATAGATTAGGTAATTTTTTAAATCAAGTTTTATTTTGTTGAGATTTATTCAGCACATCAGCTACGCAAGGCTGTCTGATATTTTCTCCAAAGTGTCAGACATGTTTTGGACATATTTAAAATGCTTTCTTGATTCTACAGAAACACATTTGACACTAGTTCCATGTGTGGGAGACGGCGGGYGACTGGCACATCGGTCCCCGCTGTGGATCTGCTGAATAAATGAAAATTATGTAACAGTTGTTTACACTTAAATTAAAAATATTTGACCAAAAGAAAAGCGGAGCAGGACTAGAGAGAGATGAATATGATTTAGATTTTTATTTCTGTGACTGTAACGACCCACAGGAGACATGACATTAACAGTCGTCATTTCATTCTTTAGCAGCTCCTTTAATTCCACAGCTGACATGGCTAAAATGACAGATTTTCTTTTCTGGATCTCTGAGAGCAGGACTTCAGTCTCCAAAACTTGTGAAGTTATTTTTTTTACTTTGCGATGTCATTTATGAATCGACTCTTCCTGGTATGTAAGAGCAGGAAGCGTAGCTTTTAATGGTGTTTTTGGGGTGGTAATTATGCTGATTTCCTCTCCTCGTGCACGAACACCTGGATACTTACAGGTGACATTCATCATGTTTACGCTGCTCATTTACAGCTTTCCTGAAGTTAGAAGTGTTTGCTGAATCTGACGTGRCATGTTCGTAYGAACCCTTYGTACGAACAAAAGTAAGAGAAATTTAGGATAAGAATACGAAAATGTTCTTGCATGAGGCCCATTATTCTGAGTTTTAAAAATCTCAGAGCTCTGCTCAAAACATCGTCTGAAACCAGAACTCTGGCAAAACTRTTCATAATTTACAGTATTTTTGGCATTTAAAGTTCGTTGTGGGTCGCATATTTTAAAAATAAAACCTCCCTTTGTGACCCAAGTTTATTTTTACCTCTTGCTTCCTGTTGAGCTTTATCTTGTTTGAAACCACACATTACAGCACAGAAACTGATCAAATATTAACAAAACTAATGAGGGAGAAACAAGAAACCAGACAGAGAGGAGTTCAGATCTGAGGGGGACAAGTACCTCCCACCAACGGACTTAACAAAACTTTGTGATGGTGAAACAGCATGACATCATGAGTCGCCTCAGAGGAAAAATAAAAATCCACTCACACTGAAACTTCACAATAAAACTATTTTATTGTTAATCAGAGGCAGAACAAAGCTGAAAAACTAAAAGCCAGCTCAATATAAAACGTAAAAAACTCCTAACATCTGAGTGAACATAACGTTTTAAACAGAAATGTCTGTTACAACAAATGTTGGACAATTACAAACAAATTAATTTCTTTCATGTAATTCTCGCTTAAGTGCATGTTCTAAACTAAGAGATTTGTCTTTTAACTAATACTGATACAGGAACAAACTCAAATGATCTGTTTTGCATATTTATTTCTTAGCAAATAAAATGAAGAAAAAAACAGCACATCTACTAAACTTCTGATTATTTGTAAAAGTGTTTGATGAACTCAGGATAAAACTCTAACCCTGGATGATCTGAGTGGTCACCACGGTGTTGCCAGACGGATGCCGGGCCCTGTTCTTCAGCTCTCGATGCATCTGGCACCAGACGCAGGGGTAGCACCACATGAGCTTACAGCAGTCGTCACAGCAGGAGCCCTGAGTGAGGAAGAGGTGGGAGGAAGAAGAGTAAGTACATGTTAATTCAACATCATTCCCATCAGCCTCATCTGTTCTCTGTAGGTGTTTTTGGATCAAATGAAAAGATTTCTTAATGGATGACTTGAAACATCTAAGGTGGATCGGGTCGATGAGGTCCTGACAGGAAGTTCCAGCAGTTTGACCTGTGAGGTCCATGTGGCTGTGAAACTTAGAGTTAGAGTTTGAATTTACCATATTTTCAAGACGTTTGGTGTATAAGTCGCAGGACAAGTCAGACTATGAAAAAAAAGTGCAACTAATAGTCTGGAAAATACAGCAAAGACTCGTTAAACTGAAAAAAAAAAAACTTTGGGGTGTAGTAACATTCATTTAATTATTCTTTTTAAATTTTACAAAAAAAATCAAAATCTCTAAACTACTAGAATTTACTAAATAAACAATATGCATTATATTTATATATCAATATTACTGTACAAAAAAAGTAAATGCTAATATTATTTTACCAATAATATTTAAGTGCTTTTTCTGGACAGCACATAAACATGAATATATTAAGTAACTTCAACTCTTCTGGGCTAAAACTGAGGGCGCATGCGCACACAAAGGCTGCTGCTCCTCATTCCCTTGCTTCACTTTTCAAGTGGAGGACAAGACATGGTCAAAATAAAACATTAGTTGTCTGCTTTCTTTTGCTTGAATACATTTGTTGGTGTGCAATAGTTTGATGGCATAATATAGCTGGTGAATGTTAGCAGTGCTAGCTCAGACTAGCTGTTTGTCATGTGACTGCAGTGGAGGATTGTGGGTAGGATTCATGTTTGTTGTTGTTRAATCATTTTAGGGAATTGGTTAGCATTGTTCTTTCAGCGATTAGTCTGTTGTGTTACTYTAATTTGTCTGTTCATTATTTGGTAACTTGTGTTAAACCGTTCAGCAGAAGTAACCATAAGGCCTAGTCATTAATAAGACCTGTGAGTTTCACTTTGTTTTGTTCATGAAGAAGAATCCAATAAAGGTTCTTCAAAACCACCACCTGGTGGTGAAGTATTGAACTACAACAAGAGCTACATCTCTCTCTGTAGCTGTGAGGTSTCATGCTACAATATTGTGCTTGATGGATGTGCACTGTTATAATGAACTTGTAAGATTTACTTGAAAAAATCCTCATAACAACTAAATTTAAATGCTACAAATTCAAGTAATTTACTCATCATTATCTAGTAAAAGTTACTAAGAATATGGTTAAAGATTTGTAAAATTTACCTGAATTATTCAAAAAATCTTTAACTATATTCTTAGTAACTTTTACTAGATAATGATGGGTAAATATTACTTGAATTTGTAGCATTGAAATTTACGTAATAAACGTTAGTGCAAATTGTTACGGGGATTTTTTTCAAGTAAATCTTACAAGTTATTTTTTTTCAGTGTACAACAGATCAATCCGCAACCATGATGAGGCAAAGAAGTCAGCCAAAACCAAGGTTACAAACACTACAAAGGTCCTGAAGAGATTGGAGGGTAAAAATCAGGTCCAAGCAGGGTTGGGCAAAATCTAATGTTGTGCGATTAATCATCAGAGAAACTCACTGATTAATATTTGGTACTTAGCTAAGACTGCGATCAGTGAYGATTAATGGAAACTAAAGCTGACGCCAACACTACAAACTAATTGTATGACTTGAAACATCTCCATTAACTGGAGTGGGAGGAAATCTAGCTGAAGTGGACCAAGGTCACATCGGCTACAACAAACACTCCTTCAGCAAGAGGTGGARACATCTACTCAGCTGAGATGCACTCAGTCAATCTGGCCCTTATGAGCAGCGAAGCACTGTAAAGAGAGAACGTGGGTCCTGACTTTATAATGAAGAGATTAGTTTGACTGATGATTTGTAAATATAATTTTACCACAATGACTTTGAGTCAAACACATGCAAATGTAATTGTCATCTATTAATCGTCATATGTGCCTTTATTGGCTAAATGCCGCAATCAATTGTGATTAATTATGTTTTAACAATATCGCTCAACCCTAGCTCCAAGCCATCAACATGTATGCCCTGCTAGTCTTCAGATACCTCACTGGTATAAACCAACCCACTCTCACTCCTAACTTGTCACATATTTGACGCTTGGCCAGGTACAGTCTGCGTCCAGTTTTGGACACATCAGGTACCCACCTCGCGTCAGAGATGGAGGAGGAGGAGCACGTAGTCATATTTTTGAAGAGTACGAAATGCACAACAACTACCCATCCCAGACCCTAAATTGAACGTCTATTAGCTCTAGACATCCTATCCCTGTCCCCAGTACCTAAAATTAATCATTAATCCTAATCCCTCATATTAACCACAGAACACCAACCCAAAGACCTCTATGTGGCACAATCCGGAAAAGCCGCGGGCGTGAATAACTGATGCGARGGGGGTACCCGACGCGGCAAAACGCAGACGGTACCTTACCAAGCATCATTATGGTGATGAGTTGGAAGTGAGAACGTGTTGTTATAACACTCAGAGGAAAAGACGTTGCAGGTTTTGCCTCGACTCAGCTAATCCACGGACAGAAGTCTGTTGACATCAAAATCATAAGTGTGCAATACTCGGTTCTACTTGCTTACAACCACTGCCGGGGTGGTTCTGAAAGCTTGGTTGGAACTGGAAATGGAGACACATTTGGCTAAGGCTGAACCCAGGAAAACATATAGGCATGACTGTGGAAAGGAGGCTTTGGTGAAAAGAGGAAGGCAGGGTCAGAACTATTATACTGTATAGCATAAAACAACTAGGGGTGCACMGACACATTGGCCCCAATCTCCTTAATTTTTGGTGACAGGACCATACTTAGATGAGAAGTCAATCTTTTCCACYGTTCTTATCTGCCTCCAAACAGCTCTGAAAATCATCCACTGTCCTCTTTTGCTCTGCTGTGAGCACTACTAATGACCAGTTAAAACAAGTTTCTATTGTTTCAAGGGTTTTGTTCAATGTTTTTCAATAAAATAAGATTGGAACATTGAAGGAGTATTGTGATCTTATAACACCTGAGTGTCAAATATTAAAAAGAAAATGATGTCAGATTCTAGAAACAACTAAGATCCTGGAGTACATCAAAGAAGAAAGCCCACAGTTATTAACTACAAAGTAAAAGTCTCAGGCAGCAGAAACCTCATGTGGAGGAGGAGAAACAACAGGAACTGTCAAGGGCAGATGAAGTCCTGCACAGGAAGTGACTGATAAAATCTTGCCAATGGCTRCAGAGAGCTGGCTGAAGGRCAGCACAGAGGCGCTGGAAACACAGGAACAATAGAGGTCGGGGTCTACCAAACCAGGCAGGACCCTTGACGACTAACCAGACACTGTGGAAAAGGCAGTGATCTGTTAAAAAGTCCTGCATGAATCAAGTTTAGCTGAGTTCCTTCATCCTGTCTAAATTATCTGAGACAAAAAAACGACATAAAACTAACTTCAGATTTATGTTCTTGGGTTTTGGTTTTTGTCTGATTTTTGTTCTGCATTTGTAATAAATGTAACACCTGTTTTATTCTGAAATGTTTTGTTTCTCTTTACTGGTTTAACTCAACTGATTGACCTCACCTGCTGGTGCATTTTAAGCAGGCTTTTAACATGTTTGTATGAGTTTTCATGTTGTCTTATTAATGTTTTTATCATTTTTAAGCRTATTTTTATATGCACTGTTGGGGTTTATTGTGAAAGTGTATTGTGAAGCACTTTGTGGCTACTTGACTGTGAAAGGTGCTGTACAAATAAAGTTATTACTTTTGTTCTGTTTTCTTTGCTCGATCTTTTTTTTCCTCAGCATCGTTTTATTATCTAAACTGGAGCCTCCTGTGTGAGTCCTGCTCAGGGTAGACATTTATCAGTGACTAAGTCTGCTGCAGTCATGAAAAGGAAACTTCAGCTCAAGACTGCTCTAATCTAAATGTGTACAAATTRTTTTGTCACCAGGCTATTTGCAACACACTAGGGTCAGAATTCTGTGCGAGTTTTTTAGTGTCAACAGGAAGTTGTTTCATTGACAGTGTTTTTAATAAATTTCAACTTCCTCATGTTGTATTTCCTGATACAGAGGCRTATCAGAACCTCAGAATAATGAATAATTTTATGACTATGTAAAATTTCTGGACTTTAAGGGTGCCCCAGTTTTTCCTCAAACCTAGTACTTCAGTTCTGATACAAAGTACTTACTGAGTTAGAACCTAAACCTTACACATTACTTTAAAAACACATTCCTTTTATTTACCGTAGGTGTTTCTCCTTCCTTAAAGACCTACAGCCCTTCTGACTGTGTCAAACCAATTATACAGCATGATACAGTGGTTAAAATAAGTATTGAACACTTCACCATTTTTCTCAGTAAATATATTACTAGAGG